TCTTCCCTCCTTCCTTCCTTCCCTCCTTTCTTCCCTCCTTCCTTCTAAAATCTTTGCAAACATCCCCTGAATTTTAAAATACGAAATTCACCCTCGTCACTGCTGCTTCTAAAATCATCCATTGAAACTTTGAAGACAGAAGATTTGGTCTCTGCGGGAGCACTTAAGGAGAAGCCCCTCTTCAGCACACAAGGAGAACAATCTGCAGCCCCCCCACCCCCCTTCACTGGTCCTGCCCTCCAGACCCCCATTCAACCCTGTTGTTAAACAGCACCAGGGGCAGGGGGGGGGGGGGCAGCATGACAGAACTTCTTTGGGAGAATCATCATTCTGAACTCTGCATTGGTTGCAGAAACGCGGGGGGGGGCAGCATGAGCCTTGAAGAAAGATTGCACCCGGATAAACAGGAGGTGCAGCCGAGGCCATAAACTCTCCCTGCTCTCTTGCGTGGAATTTCACAGACATCTCAGCAGTTTTTAAATCTGAGAATGCCTCATTTTATGCAGAATGGTCCCCGCCTGCAGGAAGCAAGTGGTGGAGAAAGTCTTACTGGTTTTGGATTCTGCAGGCTTCCCCAATGCATCAGAGGGGAAGACTTCCACTGGAGGGAAGACTTGGAAACAAGGAAGAATTTGTCGTATTGTTTGCTTAAATGAAATGGTCTTTTTTTAAAAAAAAGAAAGGCAAGCTGTCTTAGGGGGCAGAAGGACAGGCGGTCCTCAACTTATGACCACAACTGGGCCCACAATTTATGTCACTGAGAAATTTGTTAAGTGGGTTTTGCCCCATTTTACGGCTTTGGTTGTCATGTTTTTTAAGTGAGTCACTGCAGCTGTTAAATTAGTCACACGGTTGTTAAGTGAATCTGGTTTCTGCATGGACTTGGCTTGTCAGAAGTTCGCAAAAGGGGATTGTGTGACCCCAGGACACTGAGGCCGTCATAAATATGAGTCAGCTGTGAAGCATCCGAATGTAAAATATGTGACCAGGGGGATGCTTCAATGGTCATAAGTCTGAAAAACGCTCGAGAGTCAATGCTTTTCAGTGCCATTATAGCTTGGAATGGTCCCTAACTGAAGTGTTGTAAGTCAAGGACTTACACCAGTGTTTCTCAACCTTGGCAACTTGAAGATGTCCAGACTTCAACTCCCAGAATTCCCCAGCCAGCATTCGCTGGCTGAGGAATTCTGGGAGTTGAAGTCCGGACATCTTCAAGTTGCCAAGGTTGAGAAACACTGATCTAGAAGTATGTATTTAATTCAGCAGGATGCAACACTTTTACCCAAGCCCTCAATTATGTGGAGTGTAATCCAGACTTCAGCTATGCTATATCCAGCAAACTGATTGTGGCAAAATTGGATAGTCAACCCTGTAGCCACAAAGAAATACTGCCCCCTTGCCTGAAATATTTCACAGTATACTGTTCTAGCTATACTATCTTACTTTATAAAGGGTAGTGTAATAAGGGATGGTTTGATGCTGTAATTTTGCCTTCCTTATCAGATGTCCTGTATTTCAGCTTCTAACAAGGTTGGGTAAAGCTGCTGTACAATTTCTAACTTTACAATATGAAGATTTATAATTGATGCTATTCACCCAGTTAGATTGAGAAGTTGTCCTTAAAACTCAGAAATCTTGGCTTGGATTATACAAAAAGTTCAAACTTTAAGAATTTGATTTTTTTTAAAAAGTAAGGTTATTGGTTCTTATTAAGTAAAATTAATAGATATTCTGAGCATGGATTCATATATTTCAAACAGTGAATACGGTAGTGGGATCCCCCCCAAAACCAGGATTAGATTGCTAGCTGTCTCTCTAGGTTTAAAGTTCTATCCTTTCTGTTATAGTTGAGGCATCTTTATGGAGAAAGAAAACAGAATGAATTTGAGTCAACTCCAGACATGGATATCCGGGATATTGCCAGCCAGGTCATGGTAAGAAATGGGATTATTATCTGGAATACTTAAACTGAGAAAGAAAGTTATTTTTAGATCATAGAGGACCCATTTAGGTCATTAGATCCAACTTGCTATGCAGTGTAACAACCCAAATTAAAGTACTCCCAACATATTTCCATCCAGCTTCTGCTTGAACATATCCAGTGAATAAGAATGCACTAGCTTCCTTTGTGATTGGTTCCATAGAGAATCACAGACATCATAACTCCTTCAGAGCATTAATAGGGATAGAAG